CCTGGAGGTCTGAAGATCTTTCTGCGCTTTCTTGAGCCCTGAGGTTTGGAGCGAGAAAAAAGAGAGCGTGGGGTTCAGTGTTTGGGAATTTTTCGAAGCGGAGAAGAGATGATACGAAGATGAGAAATTGCTTGGAGAGATGTTTCAATTTTCAAGCTTCTGTTATGCGAAATCGAGACTTTTACTTTTACAGCCGTTGCTGAGGTACCTAGAGTTCGAAAAAAGGGAGGATTCTCCTTGGCATGCGCACAATGGCTCCAAGTCACCAAGATGGGGCCGGGAATGATGTCGGGCCGCATTGCAGTTGGTCTTCTTGCAACCTGGCAGCACAGTGCTGTGCCACCTCCCCTAAACCCTAAAGATCCACAACTGGTTAGGCGGTTGAGGCTTTAGGGTTGAATCTATGCTTCTATGCGGCCCGATAGGGAAGCGGATGCTTTGTGTTGAGTGTCAAGTTGTGGAGGGTCTTGGACACCCTGCAGACTCACGATGGTGCCTGATGGTTGCGGGTTCGAGGTCTCCGGAGTTCAGGTTTCGGGCTTGAAAGGGTTCCCAGTTTGTTCTGCACAGTGGAGGTTTGTCGTAGGTCGTCGGATGCGAAGCCAGTTTCCACATTCTCGGACGGCCGTTTTCATATGTTTGTCTTCCAAAAAGACAGCCAAAATCAAGATGCCCAAGAGCCTAGTGCTGAAAATGCTTTCCCTGTAAAGCTGCATGTGAGCTGTACAACCTCCGAATTCTGTGTATAGGCTCTGATGTGAGCACTTTGGAGCACGGTTTGGGCATGATATGCACACATGCTCATGTTGCTCAACTTCACATGCTACGAAAGCCGACCTCATGCTGCCATGTCATCTCCATCTGATCATGATCCCGCTGTTTTGTTCCAGCAGGTTGTAGCCCAAGGCAGCAAGCTGTAAGGCTCGCAGCCAACTCCTTTGTCTTCGATGTGGTCATATGTGGCCGCACGCCGCTGACACGGCAACCCGATCAGTCCGTGAGGCGGATGATGAATACCGGACCTGGTGGGTGCGATACCACCATTGCCGATTGGACCCCGGTTGCAAGGGAGCTGGACCCATCTCTGCTACCAGAGATGTCAGTGCATGAGATACTACCGAATTCAGGCGCGTCCTGTTAAACACGAAGTACGGGGCGAGTACGAGGAGCGCGCAGGCGGCACCACTGCGATGATGAGTTCAGGCGACTTCTTCCCAAGGATATCGACGACAGCAGTGTCAGGATTTGCTGGACATCCGAGGTCCGTCTTGCACCATGAGGTTCAAGTTGCAATTGAGGTCCCACGAATCCTTCGCTCATGCCACTGAGTACATCGTAGCATTGACAGAACATTGCGACTACATCGCGGCCACCAGTTCCTGCCCCGGTTAGACTGACATGCGTCATCCAACTGGTCATCGATTCGCATTTCTCTCCATGCCCAGAAGCCTCAAACGTTCTCCTTCAGCCCTGGTTGTCCATCCGTTTCAGCATCGGATCCCTCCAGCACGGGTGTGAGGGGAGTAAAGCATTCGCCCCTTCAAATCAGCACATTCAGCACCCATACCTCATCCATTGCATAAACTGGTACACCTTCAGGAGAGCCACCGCACGTGCGGCCATGTCGTCCGCAATTCCATTTGAAGGTGCTGCATAGTAGGGCGAGAGCCTCAAACAGGGCTTGAAGCCGGTACCAACAGTGTGCCAGTGTGCTGCATTTGGAGCACAAAAGGCCGCTTCGCTCAGACTAAAGAGGCGTGACTGCATGTCAAGTCCTGCTAGTGCTGCGACCTCGCATCCAGATGACGATCCCGATGCCTCATATCAACGCGAACTTTGGCCCTGAAAGCCCAAAACCCCACAAAACACTTCTTGCCTAAAACCCGAAGCCTGTTTTGCGCGCAGAGATGCGCTGAAGGCTTTCGGTGCGGCTGTCTGCAATGCGGGCGCATGCTTGCCAGATGCCATTCCAGAGGGCAGCCGTACCTTGACTCAGGAAGCTCTTGGTGTAGAAGCAAGGTTCAGAGCGAACTCGGGTTGACTTGAGGCTTCTCTTTTTCTTTGGCGGTTGAAGTGGAATCAGCCCTGAGGGGTGTTGGTCTTCCTCTGAGACCTGAAGCCGCAGGTCTAGTGCTTCCCGAGGCCAGTACATCTTCAGCAATGCGGGTGAGCCGATGCCCATCGGCCTTTTCGAACAAGCATGGGAATCGTCATACTTTATGACTGCCGCGGCCTCAGCGTTGTATGGCAAAGGCTATGTTTTTTTGTTGCAAATTTTGTGATTGGGGTGCATCTTTGACTTGCGTTCCAATTGTGCGCATGAAGGCGCTTCCTTGCGAGTGCTGCGTCTGTGCGTTCAGGCCTTGGCCAAGATCCTCATCGAAGAGGCTTCTCGTTCCTGTAGGTGTTGTGGATGTTTTCAGATCCTAGAGCCGCAGGACGTGCTTTCTTACAGCATCTTTCAGCTAGGTCTTGGGCTACCACACCACGATCTCAGAAGAAGCTGGTGGCAGTGCCATCACCGTCCCGTATGCCTTGGCAGGCTGCACTGCACCCCGCAGGCATGAGAAAGCCCGCAAAACAGCCTTTTACTCTATTGGCATTCTTACTTAAGGATCAGACTTAGTAAGTAGGGTTATCATTAGGGCAACTAGAGTTACAATTACTTATAGCCTCCATCAAGGTGCTTCTAACCCTACTTACTCAGTCCCATGATCCTCCAAGTAGAGTAGTGGACAGCGCCGAGTTTCACGTCGGGTAGCTGTGACTCCTTCCTTTGCAATGGAAGGTTTTTCACGCAAAGATGCAGCAATTTTTTCAGGGTCATGAGCGCAAGCTCTTCCACGCCTCATCTCGATCGCAACAGCTGATAGCCGCGCAGAGACCCTCAAGCACAACACAACCCCCGAAAGCCCTAAACACCCTTTTCAAAAGCCAGGCCTAAAATCCCAAAGGTGATCTTGACTTGATGAAAATCAGGGCTGGCGGAGTGAGTTGCGGACATATAGCCGCTCACCATGCGGGTTGCATACAGCACTTTCGGTTTGCTACAAGGTTGTGGCAACTGCACATCTTATATCATCTTATGTTGCTGCTCTGGCGCTCGAGAAGATGCCCCCCCCATTTCTTGATGTGCCCCTGAACCCTAAACCCTAAACCCTAAACCCTAAACCCTAAACCCTAAACCCTAAACCCTAAACCCTAAACCCTAAACCCTAAACCCTAAACCCTAAACCCTAAACCCTAAACCCTAAACCCCCATTTCTTGATGTGCATGGCAAGCTCCCAGGAATACAACAAGGCGGACAAGCAGTTCTTCTCGCTATGTGTTAATGAGACTCGCATGCATGTCTGCGCAACTTGGCTGGACCGAGGGGACGTAGGTACAGTGCTTGTACACCATACTTGTGGGGTTGCTGTAGGGAGAGTATTGGTATTGAGTTCAACTTTATATAGTACGTATACACCATACTTGTGGGGGTTGTAGAGGGAGAATCTGGGTAAAGTGAGTCCAAAAGGGGATCATCACTGGTGTCTCCCTGTGGTGCGCGCGGGCCGAGGTCGACTCCTGGTGGGCAACCTACTCCAATGTTGCTGGGTAGGCCCTCCTTGGGAAAACATTTTGATGTTTTCTTATGGAGTTTAAGAGGAGAATGTTTAGGAATATGTTTCCCCCTAAACCCTAAACCCTAAACCCTAAATCCTAAACCCTAAGCCCTAAACCCTAAACCCTAAACCCCAAACCCTAAGTCTTTTGGGCCATCCTAGGTTGTCGAAAGCATGAGAACTTCGGTGGAGTTTGCCTACCTCGCACCCAACGACCTGGGCAGCATGGGAGCCTTGCCATGAAGAATGCAGGGGCCTAGGGAGTTCGAAGCTGTCGAGATTGCAAGCCAGCTTTCTGTCCCTAAACCCTAAACCCTAAACCCTAAACCCTAAACCCTAAACCCTAAACCCTAAACCCTAAACCCTAAACCCTAAACCCTAAACCCTAAACCCTAAACCCTAAACCCAAAACCCTAAACCCGAAACCCGAAACCCTAAACCCTAAACCCTAAACCCGAAATTCCAAGGGTATCAGGGCCTGGAGTCCATCTATCTCAGTGACGTGGTGCTCCAGAAAGCCTTGAACAGCGACGGTTTGATCTTGGACTACTACCGAGGCGAGGGGGGGTTCAGATCTCTACAGGGGCTTCGGGTTTAGGGTTTAGGGTTTGGGGTTTAGGGTTTAGGGTTTAGGGCTAGGAGCCTCATGGTACCTACTAACCAGCTATCACTGTACTTATGACTATGCTTCTAGCCATATTGGGGCACTTTTTTTATGGGCTTATAAGTGGGTTTTAAGTACAGTGACCCAAGTACAGGGGCGCCTTCACTGCCCCCAAAAGTGGAAAGCCTAGAGCAAAGCTAGTCGTCTGGAAACCTGAGATCCTCAACTGTCGACATAGGGGTTTTTACGAAAGTAGGGGGACCCCGAACACAGACCTCCGAATAATAGGATCCCCTTCTTCAGAAGGACCCCAATAAGGAACCCTCAACGATCGTGAACCCCCACATCGACAATTTTTGGTCCAGACGTTCTGCACCTCCATAGAGAGCCCCGAAGACGGAGCCTTTTGAGCCTTCAAATCGATGCTCAGTCATCTTGATCTTGGATTGCCCCCCTAAACCCTAAACCCTAAACCCTAAACCCTAAACCCGAAACCCCTAAAGCCCTAAAGCCCTAAAACCCTAAACCCTAAACCCTAAACCCTAAACAGGATTCAACCGAAGCTATGGTGATCCGACGAAGTTCTTCGAGAACATCGAGAACATCTCTTCATCATCCATTAGGTTTTGCAACAACACCGCCTCGCACATGCACTAGCAGTTGCAAACCCTGAGCTGAGCTATTCATGCTGCTGCGCACTGCCTTTTGACGCCTCGGAGACACTCAGAACCCTAAACCCTAAACCCGAAACCCCAAACCCTAAGCCCAGGATTTCATGAAGAACAGCAGCATGAGCGCTTACGCCCGGTGGACGGGTGACGTTGAAGGAGCTGGAGTGCCAAACAAGCTGCCATAACCTCGCCGCAAGACTATGGCTTGAGGGAGTAGCAGTGCTACGGTAAACCGTAGGGTTAAGGGTTGAGGGTTCAGGTTTAGGGTTTAGGGTTTAGGGTTTAGGGTTTAGGGTTTAGGGTTTAGGGTGATGGGGCAGCCCCTTAACTTTGGACCCACACAACCTTTCGTCTGCTCCATGTCAGGAGTCGAGGTGATAGCAAATGGTGACAAGTTTGATTACATTGGCAAGTGCTTTGACGACAAGTGGTGGGTGTCACCGGCATGCCGCGGGGACCCACGGACTTGCATTCCCGTCATCACGGCCGGCACTGGATGGAAGGCGCCCATGTCTCAAAATCTGCCCTCCCCCCCTCCCTTGCCCCCCCCCCCCCCCCCCCCCCCCCCCCCCCTACCCGATCCCCCCTTCCCCCCCGCCCCCACTTCCCCCCCGCCCCCCCCCTTCCTCCCCCTCCTTCCCCCCACACTCTGCAAGAACGGTCCGAGCATGCTGAAGGTACCTTGTATTGGGCCCTGAAGGCGCAAGCCTTGATGCACTGGTCGACAGTGTATGGCATGCCCACGGCCATCGGTGTGGCCCAGACATGGGGCGACTACGTCTCGCTGGTCAACAATCATGAGACTAGACCTGCATATGCCGTCTCAGTCCCCCTGCTTCCCTGCTTGGGGCCTCCAAAAAAACAAAAAAACACAGACCCTTCAGGGTGTGTTTGCCGGATCCTTACGCCCAAGGTCATCCTCTTTTACTGGTGGGTGCCCGATGCAACCTTCGTCTTGCAGCAGCCGCATGCAATCACCTTCCCCCTGCACGTGGCTCAGGACATTCTGTTGCGGGAAAAGGGATGTGACGGATCCTGGTTTTGAGGGCTCAGGCTTTGTGTCCTTCGTTTATGTGCCCTTGAGCAGCTTCCAGGAGTGGGCAGAAGGCAACATGAAGACCGCGGCAACGGATACGTACATTAACAAGGCTACCAGCAGCAACTTTCCGAACAAGGCCCCCCAGGCCCCTGCTGCAGCGTTCACCGCATGCAAGCAGCATTTAGATTTCGATGCAAGTGTGCGTTTCTCGTTGACAGGAAGCACGTGGACAGCATCTGTGAAGTGTTAAAGTGGGAGAGACGGAAAAGAGCCAAGTGTCCTCCAAGCCGACACCCGCCCAGCTAGCTTCAGGGTGAGGACTTGGTCGAATTTCTATTCCGCTAGCAAACCGCGGGAGCACCCTCTCGCCGTCCCGAGACAGATTTGGCATCTCCAACCACTCGAATGCCATCTGCGAGAATCTGCGCGGGGGCCCCCCAAAAAAGTCGCAAAGGAAATTTTCCATATTTTCCGGTCAAGTTTGGCCGAACAAGTCCGTGACAACTGTGAGTCTATATCCTTCCTCTACACGTGCTTGTGTATGCCTCGGCCACAATGTAGACCTATGTGCTTGTTACTTTTCGGAAGGTTGCCACGGTCCTGAGCTCCTGTGGTCGTGGTCGTGGTCGTGGTCGTGGTCGTGGTCGTGGTCGTGGTCGTGGTCGTGGTCGTGGTCGTGGTCGTGGTCGTGGTCGTGGTCGTGGTCGTGGTCGGTCGTCGTCATCGTCCCCGTCGCATCTGACAGTTTTGGCCAGGTCAACAGCTTTATCTCGAATATTTTTTTCGAGCTCGGCGAAGTGCAAGACCTCTTGCTCGAGGTTGCATCAGGCCCGGCAGAGTAGTACGGGAATTGTTGGGGAACAGCGTGGCGTGCTTTGAAACGAGTTGAGCCCAAAGCCCATTCGGCTTAGGGTTTGTCAGAGCTTTGGGAGTGCAAGAGTGCAAAGCCACGGGCCCAGTAGGGTTTAGGTCGTTTAGGTTTTCAGCATTTAGGGAAGAGGGTGCCTGTCGGGGCACCTTTGCCTGAATTTTCCGCGTCCTTGAAAGGCAGTAAATGCTCGGTTTGTGATGCTTCGCTGGCTTTCCTGTGCGTTGGTGGCACCGGACCCTCTAAGACCAAGCTAACTAACTCTGCATGATCCCTCCTTCCACTTTGTCGGTTCTAAGGCTCCACTTCCTCCGCAGTGGCCTGCCGCTGGATTCAGGACAATCGGCCCAGGCACTGGGCTGAAAGAAGGGTTTGGGGTTTAGGGTTTGGGGTTTAGGGTTTGGGTTTAGGGTTTAGGGTTTGGGGTTTAGGGTTTAGGGTTTAAGGTTTAGGGTTTAGGGTTTAGGGTAGGGTTTATAGGGTTTAGTTTAGGGCTTTTGGGGGAACCGGAAGCACGAGTCCCCGACAGGCCCTGGCACGTCCATCCGAGCACCATCAAAACCCGAGCTTCCTCGGGTGCCCCAGAGACTCCAAAACCCCTTAATTAAGGAATAGACCTTAAATTATAATAGGAACCCTCATATGATGTAAGGTATATTCCTAAATTAAGGGGTTTTGGAGTCTCTGGGACGATCCCCCTGCGCACGCCCTTGAAATCCCTGTCGAAATCCCTCGAAATCCTTCGATTTCCCTCGAAATCCCTCAAGCACTGAGAATCCATCGAAAGCCCTCGAAATCCCGAGGTGGGAGGGCTGGCTTCCAGTCGAGACGAATTGCTTGAAGGGCTTTGGCATGGTTGATGGCGAAGGTGCGACAATCGGACATGCCACTGACTACACCAGTTTTAATTCTAGTGTGGTGCTCTGTTTGAATATTCGATGTACAGAGTCTTCGAACAGAGTGGAGCGCATCGTGATGCAGGTTTTTATCCACCCCCAGTCCCTACGTCCCAAACGCTTATGACCAAGTTGAAGGTCGCTATCTCTCCTCACGCCTGAACGCCACCACCTGCGCTGTTTGCAGCCCAGGCGCACCCATGCGGGGCTGGGCTTAGAGAGATCGTTCGACCATGCATCTTGTTGGGCAGAAGATGCCAAGGGTGGGCTGTCATATTAGAGGAGTCTCCTCGCGGTTTTACTGTCGATCCTTTAAGGGGTTCCCAATATTGGCACTAGGGAGACCGGCCCAAATACGGTCCATGACAAGTGGATGCGTCAAGCGCAGGCCATTTCTCAGAGGAAGTCTTGGACAAGGAGGGTGCCACACACCGCTGTCGCCTGTGCAGCCCTGGACAGAGCCCTGCGATGTTTTCAGACGTGGCACTTTCTTCCTGGGCTTAGGGTTTAGGGTTTAGGGTTTAGGGTTTAGGGTGTACCTTTTCCATGGGAAAAAATCTCCCAAAGTCGCCGGCAGTTCCCCTCAAAATGCTTTGATCCCCATAGGAACAACTTTGGCCCGGTCCCCGCCCAAGGAGTCAATCAAAAAGCGCCACGAGTGCCTGCGAGCCTTGTGCCCGCGGCTCCCACACGCAGGTCGGGGAAGGAGGGGGGCGGGCCTAAACCCAAGAACCCTAAACCCTACTTGGAGGTTCATGGTACCTATTAAGAAATTTATGACTGTACTTAAAACTCTACTTGTAACCATACTAGGGCACTTAAGGGGATTGTCAGTGGGTTTTAAGTACTGTTATGATTGGTTAACAAGTACCATGAACCTCCAAGCAAGCCATAAACACTGCACCCTTAAAGTGAGGTCTTCGGCGCCAGCGTCTGCAGCATCTGCAAGCAGGGCGAGTATCAGAGCCCCGTGCTGCAGAGACGTCTCGTGAGTCCTCATCTAACCCTGACAGGCCTGAAAGGTGTTGACGAGCCCCACCATGCCCTCGAAAGCAGAAGTCAGTCTTTTCATCGCGCGGCCGGAGCTTATTGAGGTCTTGTGGTGAGTTGTTTCCGCACGAGCAAATTCCCTTTCCTCTCATTTTAGGCAACGAGCTGTCCTTCAAGACTCCAAAAAAAGGGCTCTTTACGCAAGGATGTCGCGGTTTCCGCTCGATCCATGTGTTCAGTTGAGGCAAAGAAGTGAACCCGCCATATGCCCTAAACCCTAGACCCTAGACCCTAGACCCTAAACCCTAAACCCTAAACCCTAAACCCTAAACCCTAAACCCTAAACCCTAAAGCAAGATCCTAAGGAACGAGGAAGGGCAGCAGGGATGCTTGCCCTGCAGCAATGGCACAACCACCCGACTGCTGCTCATCTGCATATCGCTTGCACAGGTTGACCTTGGGGATGTTCCGTGAGGGTTCTGAGTCTTGAGGGTTTAGGGTTTAGGGTTGGTTCCCCCCGTTTCTTTCACAGCTCCTTCATAGGGATTCGAATAGGGGCGTACCAACATCCCTAGTGAGGAAGGTTCGTATTCTAAAGGGGGAGCATCCCAAGGCTGACATGTTTTCAAAGGCTTGGGAGTCCCCAGACACCCTGAGCTGTCGCACGACGACCGCAAGTGCTTGTAGAGTCGCCTGGAGCTGTCCAACATGTCCGAGCCCTGCGCGCCTGCCGCACTTCTTCCCTAGGTGGTGATGCCTCTGTCTTTGGGGGGTTACCTCCCCAGCAATGGCATGGCTCTGTGCTAGAACCTGTCATTTCCCTAGGCGTTCTGTCTCACTTTTGCGTGCACTTGAAACTCCAGAAAACCTATGAACCCTAAACCCTAAACCCTAAACCCAAACCCTAAACCCTTTCTGGGGCGGTACATAGTCGCAGGCCCCTCTAGAAGGAACGAGACCTTCCAGAAGTGCCCTGAGTCGAGCGGAGGCTGGGGGCCAGCAAGGCCGATGATTGCGTTTGTGTCTCGGCTGCTGATGGAGCGGTTTAGGGTTTAGGGTTTAGGGTTTAGGGTTTAGGGGTTAGGGTTTGACAGCAGACCATCGGCGTGAGGGAAGCAAGCAAGCTTCAAGACATGGTGTGTTGCAATTCGGCAGGGCAACCTCAGCTGAGGTGGCGAGTCTTTCATTCAAGATGGTGCTGCGTGCACGAGTTGTGGTGAGGGCCTCTTATGCCCGATTGGAAGCACGCTCGAGAAGCTGCGGAATGCCAGCGGAGAAGAGGACCCACAGGTACTGGAGGGTTACAATGCCGATCCATTGAACCCTCTGCATGTCTACCGGTGCAGGGTCAACTGCCCAGGGGGGCGCCCAGGCACCTGTACAGGGGGTCATGTGGGCCTCACTTGTGGTGAGTGTTCCTCCGGCCACTTCTCCATAGGCGATGGGTGCAGCGCTTGTGGTGGGGAAATTGTTGGGCTTTGGATACTGGCCATAGCTCTTTTTGTTGCGGGAATCATCAGTTTCCACTACCTGCTGTCCTCGCCCTACTCCTCCAAAGCCAGCGTTCTCACTTGCACAACATGCACATTGGGAATGACGGTTGTGCCGCCCTTAATCGAGACATGCGGAATAGAGATATGGGAGAGAAATGCCAGAGAGTGCCAGTGCCAGGCGTGAGCCGTGAAATAATTTTTAAAAAATGGGAGTCAGCTGAGGCCGTGTTTCAGAACTTGGGGATCTTCAAGACGGTGGACATCCCCTGGCCGAAAGAGTTGGCAGACTTCCTGGCCGTGTTCCGCGTCTTCCTGCTGGACCTGGACCATCTAGGCTTCAGTTGCCTTGCCGGAGGTCCTGTCCAGCGCTATGCCAGCAGTTGCGTGGCCTTCTTTGCGGTTATTGGAGGCCTCTTCACCATGACTGTCTTGACCAACCTGCTGCTCCCCGAGCGCTTGAGCCAGTGGAAGTGGCAGAAGTGGAAGGCCATGAGCACCACCGGCCAGTTTCTCCAGGTCGGCTTCACCACCATGGCCAATGTGAGCCTTCTGCCCTTTGTGTGCATTCGCCATCCATCAGGGCAGGAAGGAGTTCTCAAGTACACCAGCATCTTCTGCGGATCCCCAGAACATGCAGTGATGCAGGTCTTCGGATCCTTCACTCTGGGGCTGTGCTCGCTCTTCCTGGCAGCTTGCTTCTACGCAGCCTGGCAGGCGCCGGTCTGGTCCGGCATGGCGAAGCAGGGGGCCATCCGCTTCCTCATCTTCCGCTTCCGGCCGGATGTCTGGTGGTATGGCATCACTCTTCTGACCCGAGGCCCGCTCCTCTCTCTTCCCGTCGTCTTTGCGCCCAACTATCCGGTGATCCAGCTGGTGTGTCTGCTCGCGATCATGCTGGCCTCCTTCTTTGCGCAGCTTTGGTTCTTGCCTTGGAAGGCTCCGATCCTCAACTTGGTTGATGGTATCACCAACGCCCAGCTGATTGTGCTGCTGGGTCTCGGCCTGGGCCGCGTCGAAGCCGATGGCCCCTCGGTGAGTTTTCTTGACTACGTCGCCTCCATCACCTCCGCCTCCATCACCACCCTCCTACTTTTTCTCATGCTGCTCGCGCTGCTCAGCCTCTGCTACCGCAAGGGCTTGGGCAGCGGCGCCGGCGAGCTCAGAGTCATGAGCTTTGGGCGAAACTTAGGGATCTTCTGATTTTCACGAACATTTGGGGGGCGCAAGCGAGGCTTGAGCTGCGTCTGCTTTGGGGGTGGGGGTGGTGGGGGGGAGGCCCGGGGGAGGGGGGTGGGGTGGTGGTGGGGTGGGGTGAATCGGGTTCGTTGGCAACCAAGTTATGCGTAATGTTTGTTTGCAGCTTTGTCATTCTCAGCATCATCTGCATCATCAAGCCGTGGAATCGTCATCATCATCATCATCATCATCAGCAGCCCATCCTCTTCGTCCTCCTCACTTCTCGTCCTCATCGTCCTCGCCACTACCAAAGCCACCACCACCACCGCCGCCCCCACCACCACCGCCACCACCACCAGCACCACCAGTACCTCCAGCACCACCAGCACCACCAGCACCACCAGCACCACCAGCACCACCAGAACCACCAGCATCACCAGCACAACCAGCACCACCAGCACCACTAGCACCACCAGCACCACCAGCACCGCCCGCACCGCCCGCACCGCCAGCACCACCAGCCAGCACCACCAGCACTACCACCAACCAGCAGCAGCAGCAGCCGCGGCGGCGGCGGCGGCGGCGGCGGCGGCAGCAGCAGCAGCAGCAGCAGCAGCAGCAGCAGCAGCAGCAGCAGCAGCAGCAGCACCATCACCACCACCATCCGTGTGGGCAGTACTTGCATCATTACGTTTATATGCACATTCATCTTCACTGTCTTCAGCACCATCGCAATCGCCTTCATCATCAAAAACATCAGCATCGGTATCTTTCCGTTAGCAGTTTCATTGCTTCGGTCCGAGATGCATCGATAAGGTCTCTTGCCACATTGCATGTGTCTGTCAATTCACTAGCATCGTTGCAATCATCATCGGCATGGTTTATGCAGGTTTGTTCATTATAAGCATCATCTACACCTTCAAGCCAATACAATCATCGAGCGATACGTGAGGGTCGTCATCATCTTCATCCTCATCCCCATCCTCGTCCTCGTCTTCACCTTCTTATGTCATTATGCTATCGTCATCGTCATCGCCATCGATCGTCGTCATCATCATCATCACCATCATCACCATTCCTCATCAGCATTATCATCACCACCGTGCTTATTTTCATCATCACCATCATCACCATCATCATCATTATCATCATCACCGTCCTTATTTTCATCATCACCATCATCATCACCATCACCATCATCATCATCATCATCATCATCATCATCATCATCATTCGTCATTCATCATCACTCATCACGTGCACGTCTGGTGGTGGTGTGGAGTTTGTGTGGTGCCGGCGTGGTGAGGCCGTTCTTTGTTAGCAGAAGACGATTTCGCGCCCAGGGCTCTCTTCAGTGGTTTTTCCTTAGCTTCGCCCCTGTGCTGAGGAATCTCGGCTCGGCAGTGGGGGGCGACCAAATCGCTTTTGCCCTTGACCTGCTCACCAAGAGCGAGGTACCTGAGGCGGAGTGGGGTTTGGAGTTCGGGAGATTTGGGGGGTTAGGCTGTTAGGCTTGCTAGGCTTGCATTTCGTTGTACGTTGGGGTTCCAGTGCGCTGATGCAAAAAGGATCAAAGCCGAGCCCAACAAGCCTGAAATGCACGAATTCTCTTGCCCTGGAAGCCCGCAGCTTAAAAGAGGTAGTGACATGAGCCCTGAAACCGCGGGCGCGGCAAGCCCGAAACGGGCCTCGAAAGGATTCGAAAGGGGAAAATAAGGATGCGAATTTGGACGACTCTTCTTTCTCAGCGCCTTTGATGTCAACTTCTTACTTTGATTTCCAGCCCACGTCCACCGCAAACAGGCGACCGTTCGGAAGATCATTGACAACCTGTGCATCTACGACGCCAGGCAGCTGAACCACTCCATCCTCCTCCTCAGCACAGAACTTGGTGTTTGCTCCGCCAACGCCCAAAGAATCACAAGGAGCTTGGTAGCTGAAGCAGCTTGAAGCCACAGTGGAAGGTAGAAGGTATGGATTGTGAAAGCAGATCTTACCTCCACATGCTGTGCCCTGGAGGACGCGAATCACAAGTCGAGGATTGTCGTCCTTCACCACAGATGCGGTGCAACTGCGGCAGAGCCTTAAGAACGTCTCCCGCAGGCTTTCCGCCGCCCCCTCAGAGCATCGGTTGTGCTGCCTGTGAACTCTCCGCTCCATATGTTTGGAGCTGACCCTGTCCCCTTTGTCGCACCCTTGTACCCTGTGTCACCTTGCATCTCGCTGCAAAGCGAAGCTGTCAGAAGCCTGAGGTTGCGATTGGAATTTCGCAAGAGGAGGCGGAGAAAGGAAATCAGAACTTGCTTTACGAGGAGGTCGACGCGGAGACCGAGGAGGTCGACGCGGAGACCGAGGAGGTCGACGCGGAGACCGCGGAAAGTAACGTTGAACCAACAAGCAGTCGCTGGGTTTAGGTGCAGATGGCACCCGGAACGCCTTCCAGACTCTTTTGCTGAGCGCTCGCTTTGCAAATGTGACTGCAGCTGGTCCTTGGACCCATTCCGAAGGGATGACTGCTGCCATGTGTAATGATTCGCCGCCGAGGATACTGATTCGCACCCAACTCCACTCCTTGCCCCAAAGCCGCTAGGGTTTAGGGTTTAGGGTTTAGGGTTTAGGGTTTAGGGTTCAGGGTTTAGGGTTTAGGGTTAGGGTTTAGGGTTATGGAGGCTTCGAAAGAGGGTTCCATGGGGGTTATGTAGGGTTTTATCGTGACGAGGCCCATAGAACTTGGGGCAAGCGCGTGTTTTCTAACTCAAATCCTTCTTCTGGTCCAGAGGTCGTTCGGATTCAAAGTTGGTAGCTGAGTGCACAGCGTCTTGATGTTTGCTTCAGATTGTTGTAGGTGCTTTTTTTTTGTTTATTATTGTTCTTATTGTTATTCTTCTGCTTCTCATTATGATTATGATTATGATTATGACTATTACTATGGCTATTATTAAGCTTCTTCTTCTTCTTCTTTTCAGTACTATAATGTTTGATCAGAGCTTCTGGACTTCCGGGGCTGGCCTCGCTTCCGCACCAACCGGCGAAGAGTCCTCCAAAACTTGAGAGAAATGTCAGAGATCAGAGACCTCGGTGGCCAAGACGGATCGCGTCTGCTAAGGCTAACGTTTCCATCATACTTGCTCAGCAGCTACTGCTCAGGGGCTACTGCTTGAGCAACTGCTTGCAGGCCAAGTTAACTTGGCTTTCGTCCTGGGCTGGAGCCAGCAGTGACCCTGAGCCGAGCACCTTAAACCCTGGAACACACCGATGCTTTGAACATGCTCAACGCTGTTCATGAGGTCAGGAATGGAATTTAAAAGGGTTCTCTTAGTCTGTGCGTCTTGTTTGTGACCTGATGATGTGTCTGGCTGGGATCGCTTGGCTCCAATCCTCATCCCGACCCTTAGTGGGGATTTCAGCAAGTATGTCATGCCGTCGGGCGCGGTGCTGTCTCAAAGGGACGAGATCACTGCGTCTTCAAAGCTTTTTGGAAGCGGTGGCCATTAAGGCCCTTAGAGTACCCTTATAGACTTAGGTCAAACAAAATGATGGGCAGCAAGATCGCCTTGTTTCCCTTGCGAAACCGAATCTGCTCATGGAGGCCTCCAGTGCTGTGTTAGCCAGTGTGTGGCTCAAGCTGCCCCGTCGAGCTGTGGCTCAAGCTGCCGGTTTTCTTCGAAGACATGCTGCTGTGCTTGGCCGATATGGTGAGTTGTGTGCGTTTTGAGACAGGATGTGCAGTCGGGGCTGTTCTCTCAACTCTCAACATGTGCCTGTTCTATACCACGGCCATGCTGGTCATGCCCGCTTCGGATGTTTGGGGTTTTTGGAGAGATGTGGTAGTGTGTGGGACCCACATTCTTCTCGAGAACCCAGGAGCGATGCACTGCCGAGTGCGGTGGATGATGGTTATGAGGAGCAGGAACCGGTATATAAGGGGTTTGTAAGGGGTATGGGAGGGATAGATAGATATATATATATATATGTATATGTATATACATATACATATATATATATATATAGAGGTATATAAGGGGTAAAAAGAGGGGTGCCCGTTGCAAGGGGGCGGTTGGCTGAGAGACATCGGGCACCCAAGCTTTGCACCTGTAGACGCCCCCTCTCCCCGCTGATGTGCATAAATCTTTTCGGGATTCTGGTGTGCGGGGTGGCCTGTTGAACAGAGTGTCCTGAACCCTAAACTTTAATCTCTGAACTTATATCCCCTTGGGAATTATTATCATTCTTTGTTCATATAAAACCCAAGAGGATATCAAACATATTATTTTTATTAAGGTTCTAAGGGGCGTATAGGAACCCTGAGCGCTGGACCCAATAGGCCCAATTTTCTCATCTGGCGCTTTGCTTCAGGCGACCACGGCCCAAGCGTCACTGCCAGTCGCCGGTGAGCAGGAACGGGGGTTGTGGATGTCGGATGTAGATGACGAGGTGCCGTGTGCATGTCGTCGTATGACGCCGCACGATATGTGCAGTCCCCCCTCCATCAACTAAGCACCCATCTCTTCGAGAAAAGTCATTGTTCGATGCATAGAGCCTCGAGCACATGATGCCTTGGGATTAGATGAAGCGAAGGTGTGGGGGGGGGGGGGGGGGTGAGATTGTAGTTCTGAGCTCGCCTGGCCAAGAGTGAAACCTTCATCACCTGCACTGCGGGGACCGCGCACTCCAACCCGACACCAGGAAGTTGAGGGGCCGTTGGAGAGAGCAGGCATAGAGAGCGCAGCCGGAAAGCCATTGCCCAAAAGCCTCTGGCGACTCTCGGACTCAAATAATACGCAGTGCGACCACTAGCAGTAGCACCCCGTCGGATTGGGGAGACGACGGGCCGGGTGAACGTCAGGCAGAAACGCTGCGACGGCATGCACGTAGGCACATAGCCAAACGCCGAAGAGGTACAAGAGATAATGAGGCGCGGACACTCACTCCCCTCAGTCCACGCGCTTCCATGATGGAATCGCTTTTGGATGGGTCATGAGCCAACGCCTCGTTGCAAGAATCAACCCCACGTATTGAAACTGGATGGAGCGCATCTTTTTTCCCCTTTTTCCCGCACGGAGTGCCACATTCTGAGCGCACTTCGGCGGAACGGAAGAAGTAGTATGTGGTATTGCCTATTGAACCCAAAACTTTCATCTCTGAACCCCATTGGCGCACTGTTTCATCTGGCTCTATGCTTCAGGCGACCACGACCGCAGCGCCACCGCCAGTCGCCAGTGAGCAGGAACGGCGGTTCATAGTTGGGTTCAAATCAACAAAGCACATGCCTTGGTATTCGATCAAGCGGAGGTGAGGTGGGTGAGATTGAGTGGTTTGGCAAAGTAGCCCTGTATGCCTAATGGAAACCGGCTCTTCTACTGCCCCAAGGAGGCTGTGGAAGTGATTGAAGTGCCGGGTGTGCCGGATGCGGCCTCCAGCGACGAGGCAGCGGCGCAGGGTTCGCCGAGTTTAGGGTTTAGCCAGAACGGAGCAAGCGGACCTTGCAGCACGCAGTCAGCACGCTGCTCTTCAAGCAGAGCTCACCGCGCGAGACCCCGATGCCGGTGATTAGTATTACTGATGCCAATTTAGGCGAATCTCACCACAGTGACATTCTACGTGCCCCCGCCTCTAAGCACTAGTCTGCTTGTAGTGTCAAGAACCTATGGATGACTGGCACCGCACTCAGGGCATCTGAAAAAACGGTAGAATGCCACGTTGCCCACATTGTCGCTTCGAAGGGAGACCAAACTCGGCGACTGTAATTCTGAGCTCGCTTGACCAAGCGCGAGAATGAGAGACAACAAAAACGTTGCGACGGCGTGCGTGCAGGCTCATAGCCAAACGCCCCAGAGCATCTTCTACAGGAAGTCTGACACTTTTGCACCCAGTCTCTTTCCCTGACTCAGTTCCGGTCCGGAACTTCCCATCACAGCCCATGAAAAGTCTGGGAGCATTTCACTAACTAGACCCGAACCGGAGCACGCCTCGGTGCGGCCCCTTCAGAGAGCGTGAGAGAGGGAGAGAGGAAGAAGTACTACGTGGTGTTGCCTATTGAGCCCCAAACTTGAAACTCTGAACCCTGAGAGCTGAACCCTCTAGGCGCACTGTTTCATCTGGGGCTATGCTTCAGGCGGCCACGGCCACATCACCGCCAGTCGCCAATGAGCCGGAAGAGGGGGTTGGGGCGGTTGGGGGTCTAGGGTTCGGATGACGAGGTGCCGTGTGTGTTCCGCACGGCATGTGCAGTCATAGTTGGGTTCAAATCAACAAAGCACATGCCTTGGTATTCGATCAAGCGGAGGTGAGGCGGGTGAGATTGAGTGGTTTGGCAGAGTAGCCCTGTATGCCTAATGGAAACCGGCTCCTCTACTGCATGCCCCAAGGAGGCTGTGGAAGTGATTGCAGTGCCGGGTGTGCCGGATGTGGCGGCCACCGACGAGGCAGCGGCGCAGGGTTCGCCGAGTTTAGTGTTTAACGGTTTTACCTTGTTTGATGTTCTCAGCAACTCGCTTTGAGTCCCATAGCACTCATCCATGAACACTAGGAACACTTAGAAAGCTCTTTCCACCCATAAATGCTTGACAACACCCCAAATTGCAACACATTCTCTTCGTCCACTCACCCGATGTGTGCTGAGTCTTTCCCTGGTCCATCACGGAGCAAGCGGACCAAGCAGACACCCACACTAAGGGCCTTCTAAGAAACAGTAGAATGCCACGTTGCCGCAGTGTCACTTCGAAGGGAGACCAAACTCGGCGGCTGTAATTCGGAGCTCGCTTGACCAAGCGCGAGCATGAGAGACAACAAAACGTTGCGCCGGCGTGCGTGTAGGTTCATAGCCAAACGCCCCACAGCTTCTCATACAGTAAGTCTGACGATTCTTCCATCCTTTTCATCGTTGACACTTGACTCTGTAGACATTCCAAGCACGAGTCAACTTTCTCCCATCACCGATGCGCCATCTACCGCACTCTGACCAAGAGGTACCAAGTACAAGAGGTAATGAGGTGCGGACACTCTCGTCAGTCCACGCGCTTCCATGCTTGAAAAGTCTGAAAGCATTTCGGAGCACGCTTCGGTGCGTCCCCTTCAGAGAGCGTGAGAGAGGAAGAGCGGAGGAAGTGCTACAGCCCCGAATTAGAAACTCTGAACCCTGAGAGCTGAACCTTAGAGGCGCGTTTCATCTGGCGTAAACCCTAAACCCTAAACCCCAAACCCCAAACCCTAAACCCGAAATCCGAAACCCTAAACCCTAAACCCGAAACCCTATGCTTCAGGCGGCCGCGGCCAAAACCTCACCGCCCATCGCCAATGAGCCGGAAGGGGGGTTGGGGCTAGGGTTTCGGGTTTAGGGCCTAGGGTTTTGGGTTTAGGGATTAGGGTGTAGGGTTTAGGGTTTAGGGTTAGGGTTTAGGGTTTAGGGTTTAGGGTTTAGGGTTTAGGGTTTAGGCTTTAGGGTTCGGATGACGAAGTGCCGTGTGTATGCCGCATGATATGTGCAGTCATGGCTGGGTTCAACCCCTACATCAACAAAGTGAGTAGAGTCCAGGTGTGGATTAGTGATTCCTCGCAAGTGAACCTGTGATGGAGCCTGCTCAAGTGAAGCAAGAGCAGCCGTTAACAACCTAATTGAAACTCGCTTCCTCAATTGCACACGTACCATCAGGAGGCTGTCAAAACGATTGCCGTGCCGAATGTGCCGGATGTTGTGTTCGACGAGGCAGTAGCGCAGGGTTTGAACTTGTTGATGGTCGACGAGTCGACTGTTCTGCACTTGGGGGCGCCCCAGGAACGCTTAGGCATTGTTGCAACCTACAAAACAGCTTACAATGTACTTTTTCCTTGCGTCGTCTCACATGCCGAGTAAAGCGGCTTGCGGGGCGAATCGAAGCGCTAAGCGTGCACTTGTGGGATTGGGATTTAGGGCCGAAGTTCACAGGGGGCTTGAAATGTAGCTGCAAAGGCAGCTGAATGGGGTGATGGACGGCTAGGATTTTAGGGTTTAGGGTTTAGGGTTTAGGGTTTAGGGTTTAGGGTTTAGGGTTTAGGGTTTAGGGTATGAGACACTTTACAGCGCAGCTCTTGAGCCGATGAGGATGATGACGCGGACGCAGCTATGCCAGGGCAATCCACCCAGCTGTTTTGGATTCTAAGGGTTCCGGGTTTAGGGTATAGGGTTTAGGGTTGAGGGTTTAGGATTCAAGAGTTTAGGGTTTAGGGATTCCCTAGCAGAAGCAGTAGGATTCTTCATCAGACTTATCAGATGCTTGTCATGGCTTGGTCAGGGGTGTCCCCGGAGATGAAAACCAAGAGGGGAGCTGCACGAACCCACCCGACAACATGAACGAAATGAGCCATTAAACGGACGAAAAGACCGTGTAAAGACCTCTTGAGTGCTGGGGAAAGAGCGTTCGTAATATAGTTCGTTCATTGCCTTTTCACCGTCATTCTCCCACCCTGGCTGTTACCTTCACGACCCAACAGATTAGCTTCTAGACAGAGAGGTTAACGGGCTAGTGAAGTGAACGCAGGAAATCTACCGCCAGTCCTGTGCACCGTTATCATGGTAACATGGGTCCTTAGTCCTAAACCGATAACGGGTTTGATTATCATCACAAAGGATGCCTGAACACAATGCAAAAGCCCCGTGAAAATGCAGGATCAAAGGGGCAGTAAAGGTGGTGTACGAAAGGAAAAGTAAAAAGGTTAATCGCTCTCTCCTTATCACACCGTGAGACCCAACCTCTGTTGAAACAAAGGTAGCGGCCAACACAAAGCCCACATGTAAGCCAACCCTAACCCCCCCCCCCCCCGGCCTGGCCCTACGAATCTTACAGTTTCCCATGTGGAGGGGGTCTGCGAGGGGTGGCTCCAGGGTGGCACATTCTGTTCGGTCTTTGCCAAGAGAGGGCGTGAGGAAGAGCCTCTAGCCCACATCGCCGAGTTCCGGACCCTGGCAAGGTGTTTTCAGGCCATGTAGGTTCCTTGGGGAGTCGCCGTAACACTGGTTTAGGGTTTAGGGTTAGGGTTTAGGGTTTAGGGTTTAGGGTTTAGGGTTTAGGGTTTAGGGTTTAGGGTTTAGGGTTTAGGGTTTAGGGTTTAGGGTTTAGGGTTTAGGGTTTAGGGTTGTGGCAAGGTCTAAGCTGCCCTGCTTCTGCAGCGCTAGATGTCGTCAACTCGTAGGTCGCAGGTTTTGAGGCTTTGTGCTTTCCGACTCCGCCACCCAGGTGCATGCGGTACATAATCAACTGTGCCTTGCTTGCAGCCAGAAGCTTCGGGTGTTTAGGGTTTGGTGTTTAGGGTTCAGGGTTTAGGGTTCGGCCTGTTTGGGGGTTTCTTCAGTGTGGCGCTGGGTTTCACCTGTCGGCTTTGCACGGTTAGGGCCTTGCAAGCACTTTGCTCTACGCACTGGTGGGCAGGCTTCATCCCGCCAATGACGATCGGCGGGCTGAATGGTTTCATTTGGTCGGCTGCCAGCTTGCCACCCGACGGCAGGTGTTTGCAGGATCTCCCAAAGTCACGTCTTTGAACTTTAAGCCCTAAACCCTAAACCCTAAACCTCCTAAACCCTAAACCCTAAACCCTAAACCCTAAACCCTAAACCCTAAACCTTAAACCCTAAACCCTGAACCCTGAACCCTGAACCCTAAACCCTGAACCTTGTACGTTTGGCCCTCTCCGTCACTACGGGCCTGCCGGTTTGTTTTTCGCATGGCGGCAGCGTAGGGCAAGCACGCTATCTGTGTCTTTAGTTTGCATCAGTTTTTGGGGTTTAGGGTTGAGGGTTTAGGGTTTAGGGCTTATGGTTCAGTTCTTTTGCTCTCAACTGTGCCTTCTTTTTGTTCCGAAGGCCGGGCAGTCCGCCTCACACCATCCAGTTTTTGTTACAAGGTGAGACAAGAGGTAAGAAGACATCATGAACGGAGACCAGATCGCTGTCTTGTCCCCACGATTTTCTTGCGAATTCTAGACCCCCTACAGTAAGCTGTTTTGGGGCGACATTCAGATGGCAGTACTTCTTGCAAGGTTTCATTTCAGCCAGAAGCCGCGAAGAATCTTGATAGTTGTTGGGATACAGTTGGCGTGCTTTTAAGAACGAGGCCAACATGGAATCAAGCAACTGTGTCAACAAGGAAAGGAGACAGGGAGACATGTATAGCGGCACCGGATTTCTTGACAAGACGACGCCCAGGCTCAAAACCATTCGTAAACAAACAGTGCAACCTTCGACTGAAAGTCGTCCTTCCCATTGTCGCCACTGGGCGTTGTCCACGTTCACCGCAATTGACGCGTCCGCAATCCGTGCGCATCGTTCTCAGGTTGTTCCAAAATCCGCTGCCATGCGCGCATCGGACGCTGGCAAGACGTGCTCGACAGTTCCCTGACCACTCTGCCCATTTGGCCGGCTGAAAGTTGGGGGCCAGGGGAAGTCGTTCTTTCCCCCTACTTGGAGGTTCATGGTACTTACTAACCAACTATAACTGTACTTATAACCCTATAAGTAGGGTTATGAGCCCAGTTATAAGTGGTGAGTAAGTACCATGAACCTCCAAGCTCCTTCAGCACCAGCAAGCCTCGAGCCGAAGGATGTTGGGGTTGCTGTCTCCCAAGAGCACATAAGCAGGCGTGTGTCTGCTCTTCCACAACAACACCATGAACAGCAACTTAAGGACCCTCTGGTTCTTAGTAGGGAATCAGGGAAATAGGGGCCCTAATATATGCCCTTTCAGGGATTATACAGGGTACCTCATCCCTCATTCCCTACGAAGAATCAGCCAGACAAACTTGCTGCCACCAGGCTCCGAGTCCTTACTGGAGCTGCCGTTAACGGTCCCCGCCTTCCCCCGCTGTTCTGAGCTGCCATGAGAGGGGCAGATTCATGGGAACTTCATTTGGCTTCCAGATTGCGTTCCCGCTTCTGTTTTGCGTGCCTCTACGGTCGAACATCTACGGTCGAACATGGTCGAAAGCGTGCTCCCACCTCTGTCGCATGCGCATGCTCCTCATGAAGTGCCTAGCAATCGATACCGTTGGGCCTTGAGTCGTACCCCCGCCTGGTCGAAACAGCGGCGTTTCCACCTCGGTCCAATGTGTAAATGCCATTGCCATGATTTCATGCTGTTCGAGTGATGCAATTCGTTGCCCCAGGCGTTTGATGATTGCAACCTTTTCGTTCTCCGGGTGACACGTCGCGTGTTTACATCTTCAGTTCTCCACGCAGTGTTCGTGGCCGACGCCGGCAGGATCAATTTCTTTGTTCATTACATTGCAAGTATGATGAATATGTTCAGACAAATGGTAACATTACAAAGATCAACGGCTGGTAGGAAGACCTTGCAAAGCAGGGTTTGGGTAGACCCGAATTTTGGAGTCTTCACGTTTAGGGCTAGGGTGCTTCAATGGTTTGGTGGGCCTTTTGGACTAGGCTCCCCATGGGGAGCCTTCAGAGTTCGTATGCCATGGGTAGGGTTTGGGGTTTAGGGTTTAGGGTTTAGGGTTTAGGGTTTAGGGCTTAGGGCTTAGGGTTTAGGGTTTAGGGTTTAGAGTTTAGACAGGTTTAGAGTCAGAGTTTCCGAACTCAAGGTGTCGAAGACCCTCGCCTGTCAAAATGGTAGCTAGCAGCTCACCTCCTGATGCAAAAGCTGTTTGCACGAAAAAACAGAAGGAAGACACCAAGACAGCATGAAGAGATATGAAGAGTGTCACGTGAGCTCGAATGTGTAAAGAGAGGAGCAACTGGAAGAAGTTCAGCTTCCCACTTCCCAAAGGGGTGGGCGCAGCTTCAGTCGAAAACCGTTCGCCCGAGGTACTTCAGGCTCAACGGTTGGCCATTGTGGAGTTTGGGCCTTGCAACGTTCACTGGATTTGCCGTGCGCCTGCTGGTGACCCAGATTCTCATGAAGCGCCTCGGCCAGTTTTGAGTGTTATGGTGCAAAAAACCACCCACGCACTCCCTACCACCTGATATACAAACCCCCGCCTCCTCCGTCTTCCCCCCCCCACCCCCCTCCAGCCCAAATAGAGAAATCCTGATGTTGGCCAGGCTTTCTTAAATTAGGGGAGAAGTGTGGCCCGGCAGCCGTGGAAGTTTTTCAGACTCCTGAGTCGAAGACCCAAACCCTAAACCCTAAACCCTGAACCCTAAACCCTAAACCCCGAACCCTAAACCCTAAACCCCAAACCCCAAACCCTAAACCCTAAACCCTTATAAGCTCTGAAAACCCTTCCAGGTTCGGCTTCTGGACCTGCTTGCCGGGCGCCGTCCTCTGCCTCCTTTTTCTGGTGCCCGTCATCCTCGACCAGAGCCAAGAGCCACTCAGAGCATGGGCTTGGGGTTTAGGGTTTAGAAGGTTTAGGGGTTAGGGTTCAGGGTTTAGGGTTTAGAGTTTAGGGTTTAGGGTTTAGGAGTTTAGGGCTTCACATGCTGGTTCTTAGCAGGGTTTCGGGCTTAGGGTTCAGGGTCCATGGGAATCAGGTACCCGCACCCCTTAAAATGGTACTGTGAATCAGGGTTGGCATGCAAGTCCTGCAGGGGTTTGCTGAGTGAGCTGGGAGGGATCCAGACCATGAGGCAGCGACGGAGCAGTTAGGGTTTAGGGTTTAGGGTTTAGGGTTTAGGGTTTAGGGTTTAGGGTTTAGGGTTTAGGGGTTTAGGGCTTAGGGTTTAGGGTTTAGGGTTTAGGGTTTGTCCTGAGATTCAGCCTCCTGGTTCCTTTTATTCTCGCCTAAAGCCCAAGCATGTTACAGCAGCCATGCTCCCGATGCCCATAGGACCCATATGGAGCCTTCGCATGCCTGAGTAGACCACTGCTCAAACCCGAGATCGCGCACCCTCTTGTCACCCCTTGCTTTGTGGTACTTTACTGTAACTTTAGATCCTTACCTTTTTTGGGTTTGTTGGGTTTCTGACTAAGGCAGCTAAGAGTTTGATTTACAGCTACCCTCCTGAGTGCAGCCAAGCTTGCGGTCCTTTCAGGTGGGCGGTGGTTTTGCAGGTTGTTGCCGTGACAACCTTCGATGCTGGGCTGCCTTGAGTGGTTCTTACTCCGCTCGATGCCTTCCTGTGTTTTTTTATACATGTAGACTCGCCTGCGCTCTCCTCAAGGGCCGCTTCGGGCGGGAATTTCATCTGGGAAGATCAGCTGGCTAGCAATGAATGAAGGAATGCGTTGATGTTGCTTGCTCTGCTTGCCCTGTCATAATGCCGGTGTTGGAGAGTCCTGCCCGTACAACAGGAGCGGAGCAGGCGCGGGAAAAACTCATTTTATCTTTTGTTTCACCAGCGTCGTTAGCCGCTCCAATCGCTTGAGTCTGCCAAGCGGAGGAGCCAAACCTCGCGAACGATGCCATTGTCTTCTACAACTTCTCTGCGTCCGAGACCCAAGCACAACGCCCCTAGTCTCGCAGAGTGTCGCTGCTTATGTCAAACCCTAAGTACTAAGTAGATGACCCTGATAGTAGGTATAATAGTTGTAAACCAACATGTTGTGTAGCACTATTCATGTGCGTTAGGACAAGCATGTCACGAACGGCGCAGCTGTTCGTCGCAAGCCGCCCATTTTCAGCTGCTTTTGTGTGTAGACTTCGTCGCCATGTCTTCGCACAACGTCGACATCGCCGTCCTCGCCGAGATCTTGGAGGAGGTCCTCCGCGACGCCGCCTCGGCGATGGACTTGGTGTCGGCGCTGCCGCTGCCGTGTCGCGAGCGCATCGTCGCGGCGCACGCGACCCTCGTCTACCAGACGAGGTTCAGCCCCCCTCCGCCGCATCTCGTCGCTGCTTACATCCGCGACTTGGGGGGGGCTGAGGCGGCGGCAGTGATCCAGCAGCTGGCGGCGGCGAGCAGCTCATCGTCTTCTACGACTTCGGCGACGTCTACGCCCACTTCGACGGCGCCAGCGCCCACATTGGCAGTGGCCGAGCAGACGACGGCGCCCGACCCGGTTTCTTCCGTGTCAGGCGACGCTCCATCCGTCGTCGAGCCGGAGCCCGAAGGTCCGGCGGAGCTGCCGCCGCCGGTGGGCCGGCAGCGTGCTCCTCAATCCGGCGGCTATGGACGACGACTCCGAGGAGGTCGTTGCCCCCAACGTCGCCATGGTCGCGCAGGTCACCGACCCCGTCGACGAGCTGCCGCCCGTGGTGCTCCCCGGCGACCTCCCGTCGATCCAGCCCGCCGACGTCGCGCCGGACATCGCGGAGCCCGTCGTCGTCGCCCCGGAGCCGACCCCCGACGCCTCCAACGACGTGATCACCGCGGAGACGGCCACGGGGCCGGGCACGGCGGCGGGGCATACGCCGGCCAAGGCGACGTCGTCGCCCCACACAACCGATGCCACCGCCGGGCGAGGCGGCCCTGGCGGCGGACTTCGGCTTCACGTCGGCGGCGGCGTGGCTGCAGCATCGCCGGGTCGAGTTGGGCCAGGACGGCTTTGCCACTGTGCAGGGCCGCGCCCCGGCGACGCCTTCCCGCCGGCCACGACGCCTGGGCGCCTGGAGCAGATCCAGCGCCAGATCGACGCCGAGCTGGCGGCTGATCCGGCCATGGCCCCCCGGCCCAAGAAGGCGCCGCCGCAGTTGCCGTCGAAGTCTCCGTCGCCCTGGACTTCTACGACGACCTCGTCCAGGAGCTCCATGAGTTCATCGTCGTGTCCCTCTGGAAAAACGTCGTCATGAAGAAGTCGGACGCCGACGTCGTCTCCCAGCGATTGCGGGTCCAGCCCGTGCTGGCCTGTGGGTCTGACTTCGGTTGGATCTCCAGGCACACTCTGTGGTGGGCGACAGTCGACTGCTCCCAGTTCACGACGCACCCCCTCTCTGGTGAGGCGCTCCATTGGTCCCTCAAAGAGGGCTGGCGCAAGCTCCGCATCGGCGCCCACAGAGCGGCGGAGGACAACCTCTGCGTCGGCTCCCTCCGCTTCGACGACGCCGTCAGGGCGGGCCGGGTCCTTCTGCCGTGTGCAACGACGCCGGCAGAAGACGAGAATGGCCGCCCGGCCCCCAAGTCCTGCAGGGGCAGGGTGACCGACGACGTCAGGGACCGATGGCTTCGTGATCGACGCCAGTTCGCGCCATGGCATTACAGGCAGGAGGCCATGTTGTCCGACGAAGCCGGGCGCCTCATCATCCCGCCGCCCTCTGTCAAGGAGGCGCTCCACCACCTGCCCAAGGACTACACGGCGGGCCACGACGACAGGGTGCGCCATCGCCTCATCGGGAATGGCTGGCACTGGGGGGTCGCGTCCCGCTTGCTCTCCATCCTCGTCGTCGCAGCGTCGCTCCGACTGCACCGTCGTCTTCGACGCTGCAGTGGCTCCAGGCTTTGCGCGGCTCGGCCCTCTGGCCCATGGACCCCCTGCCGCGGGCCAGGCCTGCCGCCGTCGACGAGGCCATCTCAGAGGAAGATCATTGGCGGCAGGCCATGTCGGCGAAGCATGCTCTGGCCACACCGCCCGCCTTGGAGCCGGCGCTGGAATGGGTCCTGAAGGTGGCGAGCATGTGGCGCCACGACCTGCGGCGCATACGGCGGGGCGTGGTCCAGGAGCTCAAGGTTATGGTCGACGACATGGAGGACACCACGAAGGAGTGGTTGGCACGCCGCCCCTTCCCAGTCCGGTCGACGTATTCCACCCCGGACAGGGATAGGCCGACGCAGGTGCCGCTGCTGCTCCACCTCCTGCGGGACGCCGGCTACCCCGACGTGACGTCCCTCTCCGACGACCTCTCCGACGGCTTCGACATGCTCGGCGAGATCAAGCCCGGGCCGGGATGGAAGGCCAGAGACGACGACCGGTACTTTAACTCGGCGATTATGCAGGAGGTCAGGGCGGCGAACCGGCGATACCTGCTCAAGAGGCTCCCCACGGCCAGGCCAGGCGCTCACTCCGATGCCCTTCTGGCCGAGCTCGTAGGAACGTCGACTGGGTCGGGTCATTGGGCCGGCCAGGGCCCCAACGGACTGGCCGGTCAAGACCGTGGCACTGCCCAATTCAAGGACATGGCGAGTCGCGGCGTCCTTTCCCATCATCCAGATCGACGAGAACGGCGACGAGAAGCTCCGTCGAGGTGAGGATTGGAGGCGGTCCGGGCATAACAGCACGGTCAAAGCCACTGATGTCCCGACGCACCACTTCGTCGGCGACTTCGTCGATCTAGCTCGCCGCTTCGCGCAGTTGGGGGTCACGCCGCTGGTCCTTGGCCACGACCTCCTCTCGGCGTACAGACAGTGGGCGGTCAAGCACCCGGCGCATTCGGGCACCTTCCTGGCCACGGAGCACGACGTGACGCTGTGGTTCCACCTGGCCATGTGCTTCGGCGCCGCGGCGTCGGTATGGAACTTCAACCGCGCCGGTGACGCCCTCCAGGTGCTGCTGCGCCACTTGCTCCTCCTGGCGGTGGGGCACTACGTCGACGACTTCAATGCCCTGGACTTCCCCGAGACCGCCCAGGACGCTCACGACGCCTTCTCCGACGTCTTCTCCCTTCTGTGCCTCAAGACGAAGACGTCCAAGGCGCAGCCTCCACAATCGGCGCACACGGTTCAGGGCGTCATGTTCGAGGTCACGGCGCAGGCGGTCCGACTCTCCCCGACGGAACGGTCCTGCTTGCCATCGAAGAGGCGCTGTCGTCCGCGCGTCGCTCATCGCCTGGCAGGCAAGCTGGCCTTCCTCATGCAGGCCATCTTCGGCGCCCTGGGGAAAGCTGGCCTGAAGCCCATTTACGCCAGGTCGGCGGATGCAGCAGCCGCCTCCGACGACAGCCTGTCCGCGGGCCTGCGAGCTGCGCTGCTGGCGCTGCGCGGCATCCTCCGGCGTGTGCAGCCAAGGTTCGTCCCTTTCCAGCCGTCCACCTCACGACGGGCCGTCCTCTACGCCGACGCTTTCTTTCAGGAGGGCGGCGTGGTGCACAAAGCTGGGTTCGTGCCACGGTCGGCCCAGGCGCGCCCGGCAGACAGGTGGACCAATGGCTGGGGCTTTGTGCTGGTCATCGACGACGAGGTCTTCTACAGCAGGGGCGTCGTCCCGGCGTGGTTCCTTCGGCGCTTCGCGTCGAGGAAGGCGTTAATCTACGTCCTCGAGATCGTCGCTCAACTCCTGCCGCTGCTGGCATTCGGCGAACGTCTGCCGAGTTTCTGGACGGCGTACATAGATAACGCCGCTGGGCAGTGGGCGCTCCTCAAAGGGTATGGGAAGGACGACGCCGTCAACGGCGTCCTCTCTGCCTTTTGGGCTTCGGCGGCGCGTCATTGTTGGTTCCCTGAGTTCGTCCGCATTCCGTCGAAAGCCAACATTTCCGACGCAGTGTCCAGAGACGACCTCAGCCAGGCCTCGGCGGAGGGCTGGTCTGCGCGCCACCGACGATCTCGAGTTCGCCACCGACGAAGTGGGGTTTCGGTGCCGGCGCGTAGCGGGAAAAGGGGGTGCGCCGGGCGGGTGCAGAATGCGCCCCCCCCCCGCGCCGCCCCCGGTTTTCGGCGGACTGGACTGCCTTCGCGCACGTCGCGCTTAGTCGCAAAACGACGTATGTCCGTCCAGCCTTCATTTTGGGTTAGTTAGGAGCGGCGCTTGTCGTGTAGCACTATTCATGTGCGTTAGGACAAGCATGCGACGAACGACGCAGCTGTTCGTCGCAGGCCGCCCATTTTCAGCTCCCACCCTCTTCCACCCAGGCGCCAGCCGCCCCCGGGGGCGTCGGGCGGGGTGCAGAATGCGCCCCCCCCCCCCGCGCCGCCCCCGGTTTTCGGCGGACTGGACTGCCTTCGCGCACGTCGCGCTTAGTCGCAAAACGTCGTATGTCCGTCCAGCCTTCATTTGGGTTAGTTAGGAGCGGCGCTTGTCGTAAAATAGCTGCTGGAAGGATTCTGAAGTCAAGCCCATGGAACCTGCAACTGCAACCCAAGGAGCAGTGTCGCAGAATCTTCAATGCAAAACCGTGTGGTACGCGCTGGCCTCCACGATTGGAGGATGGGGCCCTAGCGTGCCAAGACCATCTGCATCCCAGCATCAGGCAGGCTTAAGGCCGAGTTGAGGTTGATCAGGATTTTGGGCTGAGGGTAAGGGTTTAGGCTGAAGACTGGTGTAGGGTTGAGGGCTCGAAAGCATCTGGACTCTTTCTTTCAGGCCGTAACTAAAGGACGCCGCCATGCCCTTTATGAACCCATGGTGCAGACCATAGAATCGTGTTGGTGACCTGCTTCCGAGCACCAGGAATCATCTATGACTACTCGGGCTGGCCCGGCATCGTGGTCTACCACGTTGCGTTGCAATCCGTGCCGCCCATCACGAAATTGGTTAATCGGTGGTGAACTTTAAGAGTAGGTCTCCGCTGCCTGGTGTTGTGACTTCCGTGGCGTTGGGAAACCTATTCTGTCATAATTATAAACATATATATATACACACATGTGTATATATCTATATATATAACACCTATTCTGTGTTTTGTATATATATATATAGACATATACATATACATATATACATATATACATATATACATATATACATATATACATATATACATATATACATATATACATATATACATATATATATATATATATGGTCAGCCCCCCCCCCCCCCCCCCATGATCCACACCTATGGTTTTCCTGTCTTCGTCTTTGTCTGATTTTCTGTTTTTTCACCGGAAAAATGCAGTAAAAACTGCACTGGAATACAAAAAGCTCTATTATATTATCCTCTATAAAAACACTAGTGTTTTTATGTGCATTTTGCTTCTGAAACTTGTGTTTTGCGGCTCTATAAAATTTTAGAAGGGTAGCCATTTAGAAGCTTAAGGCTTTTCAGGGTTTTAGGTTTTAGGGGTTTGTAAAAATTTAGATGATCTGTGGAAGGCACCGGGGCTTCCCCAGACCATTTGCAATTTTAAAGATCCTTAAAAGGGGCAGCCCTTTTCAAATTTGAAGGGCCTTAAGGTATTTAAAGCCTTTCAAAATTTTCAAGATTTAAAGGATCTTAAAAGGCTTTAAAGCCCTTAACAACCTCGAAACGTTTATCCCTTAAAAGTCTAACATTCTTTAAAATTTAAAACGGGCAGCCGTTTAGAATTAAGGAAGTTACGGATTTTAGAATTGAACATCCTAAAATCTTTAAACTCTAAAAGGACAGCCATTTACAACTGTAAGAATTTCAGGGTTTTACGGACTTTAAAGAAATTTATATTGTCTGGGGAAGGCACCGGGGCTTCTCCAGACCATTGGCAACTTCAACAATCTCTAAAATCCGCAAAGGGCAGCCACTTAAATACGTAAGCAATTTAAGGTCTTTAAAAGGCTTAAACGGCTTAAACCTTCATAATCCTGAGAATGCTTAAACAGAAGCTTAAAGATTTTTATAAGATTTTAAGGAGTTTTTAATGTTTAGGTGGGTCTGGGGAAGCCCCAGTGCCTTCCCCAGATCATGTCAACTTGCAAAAACCTTCAAACCCCTTAACCCTAAAATCCAACCCCGAAACCCTTAGCTCTAAACCCTAAACACTCAGCACCAGACCCTAAACACTAACCCAAAAACTTAACACTAAGCCCTTAGCACAAACCCCAAGCACTTAACCTGAAACCCTAAGCACTTAAGCACTAGACCCTAAACACGAAACCCTAAACACTCAAACACTACACCCTAAAAACTAAACCCTGAACATTACACACTAAACCCTACACACTAAACCCTGAACACTAGTAAACATCCTTAAAACCCTAAATCCAAAAAACCAAACCCGAAACCCTTAACACTAAACCCTAAACACTCAGCACTAGACCCTAAACACTAACCCTAAAAACTTAACACTAGGACCACAAACCCCAAACACTTGACACGAAACCCTAAACACTTAAGCACTACTAAACCCTAAACACTCAGCACCAGACCCTAAACACTAACCCTAAAAACTTAACACTAAGCCCTTAGCACAAACCCCAAACACTTAACAGGACACCCTAAACACCTAAGCACCCCTAAAAACTAAACCCTAAACATTACACACTAAACCCTACACACTAAACCCTTAACCCAAAAAAAGCCGAAACCCTTAGCACTGAACCCTAAACACCAGCGTAAACACTAACCCTAAAAGCTTAACACTACGCCCTTAGCACGAACCCCAAACACTGAACACGAAACCCTAAACACTTAAGCACTAAACCCTTACTAAACACTAAACCCTAAACACTTAAACACTACACCCTACAAACTGAACCCTAACCATTACACACTAAACCCTACACACTAAACCCTAAAGCCTAAACAGAAGGATTTTTTAAGCTGTCAATGGTCTGGGGCAGCCCCGGTGCCTTCCCCAGATCATTTAAATTTGTAAAAATCCTTAAAACCCTTAACCTAAAACCCAAACCCGAAACCCTCAACACTAAACCCTAAACACTAACCCTAAAAGCTTAACACTAAGCCCTTAGCACAAACCCCAAACACTTAGCACGAAACCCTAAACACTTAAGCACTTAACCCAAAAACTAAACCTTAAACATTTCAAACTAAACCCTAAACATTAGACACTAAACCCTAAACCCTAAACAGTAAACCCCAAGGCCAGAACCTCGAGCCCTACTAAATCTAAACCTGAAACCAAAAACCCGTCGGGGTTTCAGATGCTTACTGTTTGGATTTCAGAGTTTAGGGTTTTATTTGGGTTTTTGCCGAGCCGCTTGACCCTAAACCCTAAAACCTAAACTTAACACTCAACCCTAAACACAAAACACTAAACCCTGAAACCTACACACTAAACCCTAAACACTAGATTTCCAGAAAAAATCTGGAGTACCCTGGCCCCGGACTCTAGACTCCAGATTTCCAGAAAAAAATCTGGAGTACCCGGGCCCCGGACTCCAGACTCCAGATTTCCAGAAAAAATCTGGAGCACCCGCGCCCCGGACTCCAGACTCCAGATTTCCAGAAAAAATCTGGAGTACCCGGGCCCCGGACTCCAGACTCCAGATTTCCAGAAAAAATCTGGAGTACCCGAACCCCGGACTCCAGACTCCAGATTTCCAGAAAAAATCTGGAGTACCCGGGCCCCGGACTCCAGACTCCAGATTTCCAGAAAAAATCTGGAGTACCTGGGCCCCGGACTCCAGACTCCAGATTTCCAGAAAAAATCTGGAGTACCCGGGCCCCGGACTCCAGACTCCAGATTTCCAGAAAAAATCTGGAGTACCGGGGCCCCAGACTCCAGACTCCAGATTTCCAGAAAAAATCTGGAGTACTCGCGGTGCCAGACTCCAGATTACAGACTCCAGAATCTGGAGTCCAGAGTCCCGGTACTCCAGATTTTTTTGGAAATCTGGAGTCTGGAGTCTGGGGGTACGGAAATCTGGAGTCTGGAGTCCGGGGCCCGGGTACTCCAGATTTTTGCTGGAAATCTGGAGTCTGGAGTCCGGGGCCCGGGTACTCCAGATTTTTTCTGGAAATCTGGAGTCTGGAGTCCCCCCCCCTCCCAAAACCCCTTCCCGAGGCCAAATGTGTGGATCATGGGGGGGGGGGGGCGAGCATATATATATATATATATATATCACATAAATAAATAAATATGTGGATACATAAATAAAGATAAACATATGTACATGTGTATGAATATCTTTCTTTTCGTATTGATATATGAGCCATGTTTGCTGCACATCGCCCGCCTTTGCCGGCCTGGCGTTGCAGAGTTCTTTTTGCGGGGGTCAACCCTAATCCCTCAGTCCTAAGCCCTAAGTCTCAAGCCCTAAAGCCCTAAACCCTAAACCCTAAACCCTAAACCCTAAACCCTAAACCCTAAACCCTAAACCCTAAACCCTAAACCCTAAACCCTAAACCCTAAACCCTAAACCCTAAAGCCCTAAAAGCCCTAAGCCCTATAAGCCCTATAAGCTCTAAGCCCGAAGCCCTAAGACCCAAGCCCTAGCTCCACGATAAGGGGTGCAACCATATTTTCGGAACCCCACGCTTCGGATCAGGAGCCTTCGGCGTTTAAGGTTTAGGGTTTAGGGTTTAGGGTTTAGGGTTTAGGGGGTTTACTGTAGGGACTCGGGGGGGTTTCATGGCTAAAGCTCGGGGCTTTCGGGGCGCGGGAGTTTAAGAGCAGAGGGTTTCAAGCCCAAGTTTGCAAACATGGTACTGGCTGTTGCACGCAAGATCTAGCGAAATAGGTTTAGGGTTTAGGGCTTAGGGTTTAAGGTTTAGGGTTTAGGGTTTAGGGAGCATCGGGAGGTCTGGTGAGCCAACTTCGAAAATTTTGCGGTGTCAGCGGGGGGTGTGGCAAAAAAACTCGATTGCATTCACGCCGTACAGGTTTCTCCTTGGTTTCCTCAAAGAACTCCGCACAACAAAAAGCGTGCTGGTCACAGTCTTGAGGAGTTGCAACGGGCCTCAAATATGAAAAAGCGACACAGCCTCAACCATCCCGAACCATTTCTTCTCCAGGCAGACTCTGCTTTTCATCACCGAGCCGGCTGTGTGGGGCTCCTTTGCGGAGTTCCGACAGAAGTGGTGCAGGTGCTGGCTTTTGTCGATCAGTTCGGTGTATGGCATTTTGGTGGATTGTGCTGGTTGTTCATGTTGTTCACCCGGTCAGGCAGTGTTGAGTGGTGTGGTAAGGCTTGGAGACTGTGTTTCGTCTGCCAGGTGTGGCAAGAAAGATGAGGAAGACTTGGGTCCTGATGCCGTGGTATCCGTGGTGCCGACAGGCCGTGAGACGGGTTCTTCAGCGTCTCGCTCGGGGTAGTTTAGGGGGTTGCAGCAGGTTGAGTTGCTTCCCCAGGTCCGAAGGAAGCCTGGTCAGGGCGGCCGGCTCCTCCCGCGGCTGCCATGCTCGTGCGACCTGGTCAGCCTGACGTCGGTCGCGGCAGCATGGTTTCGGTGGGTTCGTCAAGCCCGTCAAAACGGTCCAGCCTAGCATCCGAGCGCCGCTCCCGCGCCGGGCCCGGGCGCTTTAGCCTAGTATCCGCCTCTCAAAATGGGCCAAGCCGCCGCAGACTCAGCAGGCTGTCCGGGAACGTCAGGCAATCAATGATTTCAGTGGACCCCGGCCGAACAAGAGTCTCAACAGTTTCAGGAGTGTCAGGAATAGGAGGGCACAGCCTGGGACGACCGTCCCAGCTGACTCTTGGTACTCTGCAAAGCCAGATGTCCCACGCAGAGTTGGCCAGCACCATGGCGAGAAGGATCAGCCGCGTCGGGGGCGGGGGACAGAGATCGTTAGTCCCAGGGGCAGCAGCAGATGCGGAAGAAACAATGTCGGTCCTCTTCTTTGACAACGACGTAGAGGACGGGCCCTAACCCTTGTCACGAACTCTACATAGGAATTCTGGGGGAACGTTGCCGGCTTCAAGTTTTCTCGCCGGGTGCAGTAGGTATTCCCGTCGGGTTCCTTTCCGAGGACGAGGAGAAAACCGCCACAATACCGCGCGACCTGTACCTGCCCGTGATGCTGATGTTCTTCTGTGCCTTTAACTACAACATTTCGTACCAGACCGAGTGGGCCCTCTTTGGCAACTTCGACGAAATGGGTATTGGGCTGCGTGTGTTTTGGTTGTGGTCTGGTGTTGAGAGCTTGGGTTCATAACACCATGAATTCCATGGTGCAATGTCTCATAGGGCTTGGCACGAAGCTCAGGCGTCTACTTCAAAGAGGTCCACAACTGGGACAACGCGACCTTCGCCGGCCTGGCCCAGACCTCCGGCGATGTCCTGGGTGCCATCATCATCAATGCGCCTAGGAGTGAGACCGGGCGGGGAAGGGGGGACGGGCGGGGAGGAGGGGGGGCTCGACTTCCTCTTCAAAGAGTTGGAAGAATTGGATTCGGGGGGGCTTCCCTGGGGAACGGTATGTCAGGTGCTGGCCTGCCTCTCGAAGGACAGGCCCGACGAGGAAGGTTTCAAAGCTGGTGGCCTCAAGAAGTTCTGGCACACCTTGATGTGCAAGCCGTACCTGGGCCTTGGGCAAGGGGCGACCAAAACGTTAGTGTAGACTTGAGTGCGTGCGGTGTGCGTGTGTGGCACTTACAAGCCGCGGCAGAGCTGTCTCCAGAACGCCCTTCCCAACAATGGACGCTGTTGCTGGAAGTGATTGGCCTTCGACGAAGTTTTCCCGAACCCACCTGAGGCCCTACCCAAAAGGAAGGGGACCTTGAAGGGGAAGGGTAGTCCGAAAGCCATCGAAAGCCATCGAAAGCCATCGCAAGCCATCGAAAGCCATCGAAAGCCATCGAAAGGTACTGGTTTGCACTGATCAACTTCACTTGGGCAGTCCTGAACTGTGCCATTGCGCTCCCTCACATCGCCATCGCCGTAACCTCGCAAGTTCTCATGGGCACCTTGTACATCTACTCCGTGCAGGATTGCTTCCCGAACACGCTGAAAATTGAACCTGTATTTCCCAAATATGATCCCTAAACCCTAAACCCTATAATTACCCCACAAGCTCAGCACCCTGCAGGCCGCCAACAACATGAACTTGTTCTTCTCGCTCGGGGATGGCAATCTCTTCATGGCGCTGCAGGGATTGAGGGTGCATGCTGAGGCGATCGGCAGCGCCATCGCGGGTACCTGGGGCTTAAACCCACCATCCCTGAGTCCCCATGCCTGGTTCTAGGATGGAGGGTTGTGAGTTACCCTGGGAAGTACCCTTACCATGGGAAGTACCCTTGCCGCAATCCTCAGTCCAACGCCGCCAACGCCCTCAACCTTTGCACATGTGATGCAGTTGTGCCAAGGTCTGCTGGCTCTCGTTCTCTACGACAGCGTGGACCCAAATGCTTCTCGCAACAACTTGAGGTTTCAGAGTCGAAAAGATCAGGCTTCGCTGTGTAAATATGCAGGGGCCAGAGTCGCACCAGTGGTTTAGGGTTTAGGGTTTGGGGTTTAGGGTTTAGGGTTTAGGGTTTGTTGCTACGGCAAGGCGTTCAGCAAAGCGTGCCGATTTTGTGTTTCCCAAGCCGGCAACACCGCAAGACGTGTGCGTTTAGCCTGTGTCGATAATGACGGGTGAGAAGAGGAACCAGCGCAGCTCTCCCTAAACCCTAAACCCTAAACCCTAAACCCCAAACCCCAAACCCCAAACCCTAAACTCGGTTTTGAAGTGAGGCCGCCTTCATCATGACGTGCACCACGTCTACGTTGGTGACCATCGCTTACACAGTGGCGCCTTGAGCTGCAGCGAAGCGTGGTTGAAGTCCCACTGCTTCCCAATCCGCTGTCTGGTCTCTTTCTTCAAAACGTCGATAAGCGCGAGGGAGGGGATGGGGGATGAAGGGGCGACAGCCCTTCGACACTACGGTTACGGGTTTGCAGGTTGGGAAGGCTGGGCGATTGGGTTTCGCAGCCCAGGGATTCTGCCGCCGAGATGGATATGGCAGGAGCCTGGAGGAGGTCGGTGTGTAGTCTTGGGGATTTCGGTGGCTTAGGGCTTAGGGGGGTTTCCCTTATTTTGGGAAGTGCTCCCCCCAACCCCCCTCCAGTTGCGCGACGGGCTTGCTGCTTGCTTTTGGCATAGCTTCGGGATATAGTTCAAGGTGACTTGGGGAAGGTCTGGAGTGGAGGCGACTGTTGCTTCAAGGTGCAATCCCAAGCCGTAAGCCCACCAGCAGTCTTTTTGCATTCCTTGGAGTGTTACCACCTTCTCTGTCAGCCTTTGTGAAGCAGAAGAGCCCTGATACCAAAAGACTCCTCTTGAACACATTTCCGTGCCGCAAGGCTGAACAAGTCAGGGCAGACAGGCTAGGCATTGCACGCGTGACGTGGGCCGGAATTCAAGAGCCTCGAGGGTTGAGATGGTTGAGTTTCTTGTGGACTCCTAGATTTAGCCGGTTCTTCGTTACCAGGTGTGGCTCATGACTTCTTGGGTTGCGGGGCTGAAGGGTGTCGGAACAGGGCTGAGTGAGGTCGTTTCTGCAGGATGGACACGCTTCCATTCGGTTCGTTTGTTTTTTTGAACCGAACCTTTCATGAACCCTTTCCACTTCGCAAAACGGTTCGTATGGTTCGGTTTCCGGCACGGTTCCAGCCTAGGGTGTGCCCTTCAAGACACTTGGAAGTTGTCCCCCCCATCTTGAAGGCGGCATCAAAATCGTAGGGTTTAGGGGTTTCGGGCTGTAGGGTTTCGGAGTTAGGGAGTGCGGGAACGTGCCCATTCTAGGCGAGAATGTTTCCATATTCTTTCCGCTCCTCTTGAGTCGTGCTAGGGAGTCTATCTAACATGGATGCGCCACGCAAAGTCATTGTCTGGGCATACTGTTGGGAAGGGTGTAGTGGCCCCATGATCCAGCGGCCTGAGATGGATGAGATGGGCCAATCAATCGTAAGAACTGTGGCTTCCTGAGAGCCCAACCTTAAAGCCCAAAACCTGCATTTGCAAGGTGAAGGCGTGGAAAACTGAGCCATCGGGGCCTGGGCAGCTGGAGACAATGCAAGAGGAAGAGAACGCGGATCAGGACGATCCAACACAAGGGTGAGTTTGTCTCGCCGTTCCAACTTTTTGTGGCCAGCAGGGACACTCAGCTTTTCCTGCTCAAGTGCTAAGCACCTGGGCAAGCTGTGCGTTTGCGAAATCCGGATTCAAGATGCTTGGGCGACATGAGACGACCCAGGCATTTTGAACATGGTCTTGGATCATTGTTTGTGTTCCTATGTTCTTCTCCCATGGCCGGGGCCAGGGTTCAGTTGTGTTCCTATGTTCCTCTCCCATGGCCGGGGCCAGGGTTCATCCACGGTCAAGGCAAGAAGTCCATGCCAAGCAGGAGAACTCAGAAGGACTCCCCCATTCTCTCTCTCTCCATCTCTCTCATCCTCTCGATCATTCTCGCTCTCATTCTCCTTTTTTCTCATTCTCTCATTCTCTCTTTCTCTCATTCTCTCATTCTCTCTCTTCCTCTCGCTCGCCCTTGGCTGGTTGTTCCCATCATTCCGAATAGGGGTGACTGCTGCCTTGTTAACGGTTCGCCGCCGAGGATGCTGAAGCTGACCACCTCCATCCCTTGCCCCAAAGGTGTTAGGGGTTTAGGGTTTAGGGTTTAGGGTTTAGGGCATCTAGGCCTCGCTTCCGCGCCAACTGCTAAGACTTCAGAAAGCTTGAGACATGTCAGATACCTCGGCGGCCCAAGACGGCACCACGTCTTGCAGGAAAATGTTTCATCCAACTTGCTGAAGTGACAGGCTAGCGTCCGATCTGGCAGGGCAGGAACTCTGCTACCAGTCATCCCAAAGCCCTAAACCCTATTACCCTAAATCCTGAAGAGCTATGTCATGCCTTCGGATGCAGGGCAGCCTCAGGCGGACGACATTCCCTGCTTCACAAGCTTGTTGGAGGTCGCGGCTGTTGAGGCCCAGGAGACCTGCAGACTTGAACTGCTGGTGCTCTTTGAAATTAGCGATGGGCAGCAACGTCCAGAACCGATTGCCTGGCCTGCGAAACCGAATCTGCTCATGACCTCGCGTGTGTTGCTGGTGGCTGGCGATGACGTGCATCGCGCGGGTGCCTGCGGCCCCAAATTCTTAGATCCCCCTTATACCAACAGACCTTAATAGGCCCTAAACCCTAGACCCTAAACCCTAAACCCTAAACCCTAAATCCTAAACCCTAAACCCTAAACCCCCAAATTCTTAGAGCTCAGGGCCATCCAGATTACTTTGGGCTTCACGGGGGGGGCTCCGGGCCCCCTGCCCCCCCGGAACTAAATTATTTTAAATGATTTAAATATTCCGGGGGGTCGAATATTTAAATTGTTTAAACTATTTAATTCCGGGGGCAGGGGGCCCGGACCCCCCCCCCTTCAGGATTTAAATTGATTAAATTAATTAAATTATTTAATTCCCGGCCCGAATTAAATAATTCAAATATTTGGGGGGGTCCAATATTTAGATTTTTTAAAATTATTTAATTCGCGCCGAAAATTTAAATATTGGACCCCCCAATTATTAAACTATTTAAATTATTCAAATGATCTAAATCCTGAAGGAGGGGCGGGTCCAGGCCCCCCGCCCCCGGAATTAAATAATTTAGATAATTTAAATATTTGGGGGGGTCCAACATTTATAATTCTAAAATATATTTAATTCCGGGCCGGACCCCCCCCCCTTCAGGATTTAAATTATTCAAATTATTCAAATTATTCAAACTATTCAAATTATTTAAGTTATTTAAATTATTTAATTAGGGCCGGGAATTAAATAATTTAAATAATTTAGGGGGGTCCAATATTTAAGTTATTTAAATTATTTAATTCCCGGCCCTAATTAACTAATTTGCATAGTTTAAATATTGGACCCCCCCCAAATATTTGAATTATTTAAATTATTTAATTCGGGCCGGGAATTAAACAAATTAAATAATTTAAATCCTGAGGGGGGGGGGGGTCCGGGCCCCCTGCCCCCCCGGAATTACATAATTTAAATAGTTTAAATATTGGACCCCCCCAAATATTAAAATTATCTAAATTGTTTAATTCCAGGGGCAGGGGGCCCGGACCTGCCCCTCCTTCAGGATTTAAATTTTTTAAATTATTTAAATTATTTAAATTATTTCAATTATTTAAATTATTTAAATTATTTCATTCCCGGCCCGAATGAAATAATTTAAATAATTTAAATATTTGCGGGGTCCAATATTTAGAATATTTCAATTATTTAATTCCCGGCCCTAATTAAATGAGTTAAATAATTTAAATATTGCCCCCCCCCACCCCCCCCAAATATTTAAATTATTTAATTCGGGCCGGGAAGTTTCATTCCGGGGGGCAGGGGGCCCGGACCCCCGCCCCCCTTCAGGATTAAAATTCTTTAAATTATTTAAGTTATGTAAATTATTTAAATTAATTAAATTATTTAAATTATTTAAATTATTTAAATTATTTACATTTTTTAAATTATTTAAATTATTTAGACTATTTAGTTCCCGGCCCGAATTAAATTTAGATAGTTTATATATTGGACCCCCCCCAAATATTAAAATTATTTAAATTATCTAGTTCGGGCCGGGAAATAAATAATCTAAATAATTTCAATAAGTTAAATAATTTAAATAATTTAAAATTTAAAAAACTTAGCAAACTTAATTATTTTAAATAGTTTAAATAGTTTTTAAAATAATTTAAATAATTTAAATAATTCAAATATTTTAAATAATTTGAATAATTTAAATCCTGAAGGGGGGGGGGGGTCCGGGCCCCCTGCCCCCCGGAATTAAATTTAAATAATTTAAACATTTGGGGGGGTCCAATATTTAAATTGTTTAAATTATTTCATTCTTGGGGGGCCGGACCCCCCCCCCCCTTGAGGATTTAAATTGATTAAATTATTTAACTTATTTATTTCCCGGCCCTAATTAAATAATTTAAATCATTTAAATATTTGGGGGGTCCAATATTTAAATTTTTTAAATTATTTATTTCGGGCCGGGAATTAAAAAAACTAAATAATTTAAATAATTTAAATAATTTGAATAATTTAAATAATTTACATAATTTAAATAATTGAAATAGTGTAAATAATTTAAATAACTGAAGAGGGGGGGGTGCGGACCCCCTGCCCCCCGGAATTAAATATTTTATCTAATTTAAACATTGGACCCCCCCCCCCCCCCCAAATATTCAAATTATTTAAATTATTTAATTCGGGGGGCAGGGGGCCCCACCCCCCCCCCCCCTTCAGGATTTAAATTATTTAAATAATTTAAATTATTTAAGTTATTTAATTTATTTAAATTAAAGAATTTAAAATATTTCAAAATTTGGGGGGGTCCAATATTTAAATTATTTAAACTATTTAATTCCCGGCCTGTCCCCCCCCCCAGGACCCCCAATAGGGTCTATTTGGAAGCTGGCTCTTGTAAATTAGTATAGGTTTTGGGGCTTGTTTTCCTATTGTAAAAACAAGTATGAGCTTCCAAATAAACCCGGTTTAAGCTACACACCCCCTCCCCCAAAGATCTACCTTCTTTGGCCGCGCGCGATATTTGGATCCATGTCTACTTTATTTATCTGTCTTATACGTACTTTGAATGTCGATGCTGGATAAGTTTGCAATGTGATGTTCTGTGGAGAAGACCTAAAATCGATGATTTGTTTCATTATAGCATTGTGTGGGTTGCAGTGCCCTAATGGGGGTGATAAGTCATTGTAGCTTTAGTTGCCCTACTTATCATAGCCCTACTTACTAAGTCGCCTGATCCTTTAAGCAACCCCCCCCTGCCAGAATGTGCCTCAGCGCTTCCCGGATCGAAGATTGAAGATTTACTGTAAGATGGCCACAGGAAAAGTTTCTTGAGCGTCTTCAATCCGCAGCGACCCGTTTGAGCGCCTCAAAGTCTGCCTCGGATGGCCCCGGATCGAAGGTTCAAGCTAAGGGCATCTCTTCAACCTTCAATCTTCAGCCAGGACGGGCTACTATACCCTATAACCCCCCAAAAACAAGGCCCTTTATAGGGTCGATTATGGGGATTACGGGGCCTAATCCCCCGTCCTGGATCTCGGCGGGGGACTCGCAACCCGAATCCTCCGATGTGTGGAATTCATTGCCCCCAACTCCAAAACCTAGCCTTGGATGGTGTGGAATTCATTGCCCCCAACTCCAAAACCTAGCCTTGGATGGTGTGGAATTCATTGCCCCCAACTCCAAAACCTAGCCTTGGATGTGTGGAATTCATTGCCCCCAACTCCAAAACACAGCCTTGGATGGTGTGGAATTCGTTGCCCCCAACTCAAAAACACAGCCCTCTCTTCCCTTCATCGTTTGAAAGCAGCATAACGAGGTAGATCTTTGGGAGGGGGGTTGGGGTGGTGGTGGTGGTGGTGGTGGTGGTGGTGGTGGTGGTGGTGGTGGTGGGGGTTGAGTACGATGAATATGAATGTCAATATAGATACGAATATATACGAATATATATATATATATATATACATATAAGAAACTAAGTAAATCACAAACATTTATATATATATGTATGTATGTATGTATGTATGTATGTATGTATGTATGTATGTATGTGTGTATGAACAAGTAAGCAAAAAGAAAAAGGTAAAGATCAATGTCAATACAGATACCTAAATGGATAATATATATGTAAGGGGCAAAAACAGTTTTCGGTGGTCATCTCATAGGCGTCGTACCGCTTTCGGCTTAAGTTGTCGTCGAACTGTCTCACTTGCAGATGTTCCGTCGAAGACATGCCGCTGTGCTTCCGATGGTGATTCGTGTACCAGCTTTGAGACAGGATGTGTGGTAGGGACTGTGCTCTCAACTGTCAACATGTGCCAACTCTATGCCACGCCCATGCTGGTCACGTCCGCTTCCGATGTTGGGTTTTGAGAGATGTGGTAATGCATAGGGGGACCTGTGGAGCCTTTGGATGCAGTGCCGAGGAACGATGCACTGCCGAGTGCGGTGGATGATGATTGTGAGGAGCAGGAGCCGTGCCCGTTGCGAGGGGGCCGTGGGCTGTGTGACATCGGGCACCCAAGCT